GCAGTGATAAATGGTATGCATTTGCTTCTCTGAAGGTATCGGCAAATAAATTATTTTCGTGTTAATTGTTGATTTATTTGTAATTTTTTGTCGCTATGTTGGATCAAATTAACTGACCTCAATTAGCAAATACGTACTCCTATGCGGACGCCTCAAAACTGCGACCCAGTGGGGAGTGACGTTGTTTCCACTTAGTTTTGAATCTCGTACCTATCACTTAAAACATCAGTGGTGTCCATTGGGCCACTGAAGCACGATGGCCCCTTCTTTATACAAAGGCTTTTAGTTGTTATTATTTCTCATGTACTTGGTATTCTCCTTTGTTATTATTTTTATTTTTAGGTGAATGAGAATCTTATTTTTAAGGTAGTATTCATTGCAAACCGACTGTCATCGGTAGGAAAATCGGTGGGAACCTGAACAGTACTTGCTTCATCATACTCTTGCGCGACTACCCACAACCCTAGCAAAGATCGATTGATGAGCTCCATGTTCTACGGTGAGCGCGTTAACCATTCACCCACTGCATAGGAATTCAGTGGTCCATGACCACCATCCAAAGTGTTCAGTTAGCGTAAGTTTCACTACGGACTGATCTACCTCACAGGTCACAGCTAATCATCATATCTTCTTGAAATCTATCTCAAAGCATGTCACTAAGCTGATACAAACTGAACAACTTACCGGAGGTCACTAGTTCGATTCCCGCCAAGGTTAAAGTTTTTATTTTACTTTCAATCATCATCCATTATCAGTATATACGGATGAGTGAGATCTCAGTTGGTTTGAAGGGTGAAATGCGTGACTCATTGTTTGAATGGAGTGAAGTGAGTGTATCAGACTGACTGGACAAGAACATTCTTGACCAATCAGGTGCAAGGTCGGCAGTTAGACTAATTGGACATAATCACGTACCAAAGACAATTCCAACCATGAGAAGGTCAAAGCATCGAGTAAGGATGTTTTGTCTGAGTTGGGGCTCACTCACTTGTGCCTCAGTTAATGATAGTGTTGTGGCCGCAGTTCAAACTAAGCACCATCACTCTAAACACAAGAGTGATATCCACTAGGCCACTAAGGTTCGTTAGCCACCTCTTCTACAACGGATATCAATTGTTATTATTTACTGATACTTGTATTCTCCTACTGATTTACTGAACTGACTAGCTCGACATATGTTGGCAAATGGACTCCACTACCGATTCCTCGAAACTGTCCAACTACTTATTAGGTTACAGTTTATTTATTCATAATGGTGTTCATTACTTGTTCTAATTTCTTTATACCTTCCGTCTCCATTTGTTTGTCAAATTTCTGAAGGTAATCACATTCGCCTGACGCTACTGGTGGGTTGTATTTGTCTTACGCCGTGATAGTTACTTTATTGTAAAGGCCACTTTTTCGAGTTCTCCTATGTAACTCTGAACTTTCGACTTACAAATGTTGAAAGTTTATGTGAATGGTTTCACGCGTTGACGTTGATCAACACGTACTTAGAGGTAGTTTGCATCTTTTCGGGTAAAAAGTTGTCCGTAATTTGGTTGGTGGTGTTTAGCTGTGATGGCCATGGCCGAGCGTTTCAACTTATCTTGGGCTCCAGTAGCGAGTGATGTTGTTCTCACTGAGACTCGAACCCAGTGGCCATCGGTTTAGATGCTTAAGCGCTAACCACAAGACCACTGGAGCACTACAGTCAAATTATCTGGTTTTACTAATTACCTTTCGTTACACCTACGATGTATAATGAGTGGTTAGTACTGAAAATAGAGGGAGGTGTTTTGTCCAATTTGAGACTCACCAGCCTCATTTACCAGTCTCCTAGTGGGTGAAGCTGACACAACTGAGACGTTTGTGTCAGTGCATGCATAGTACTTCGTTTCTCCCGCTTCATTTTCTATTAGGATCTTCTGTTTCGCCAACATTCTGTATTGAACAATTGTAGATTAATTTGCTTGCTGTAGTGACCATAACACAACTCTGTGGTTCATTGAAGTCTTGGCTTTTGAGCAGTGAAGTTCAGAACTGAGGTCTACGTTCGAACCCAGGGTCCACGGATTTAAATACTGATACCATCATCACTTTACCTGTGGGAAAATGTTTCCTAGGATCGACCCATTTCAAAGTGGTATCCAGCTGTCATAAGCACAAACTACAGCACGATTTAATAGCGTGGTAGTATAAGACAATTGTTTAGCCTTTATTAAGGGATTCTGCAACAGCTATTGATCCCTATAATGTCACCTATCACGGTGAGCCGGCTACCATTTAACCACTGAATCGGGATTTGAATGGTTTCAGTTCAAGGATGATCAATTCGTAGTCATTTGTAGACTGAATAGTCTACATTGACATTTCAAACAGCTGAGTAATTTTTTTTAACTATCCAACCAATTCTAGTGTCATTAGGGTTCCCATTGGAAACCAATCAGCCAAGATCATAAGGTGTGACTTCTGACACAAAAGTCCTATGAAAAAGCAAGATATCTTACTACTCAACGACTTCATTGGTTAGAAACCAAGCAGAAACCATACAGAAAACACAGAAACTGATCTAAAGTATCTCCCCACCCATTTCGCCCTTTCTGGGACAGAGCTCATCAGCTGCGGTGTACCCAAAGACATTTGACTCACGGAGCCGAATCGTTCAGATCGCATCGGCATGATTGGTTACTAACTACTCCGGCTGTTCAGTAATATACAGTTCGTTGGTTTTGGTTTCATTTCCTCTTTTTCTGTTTGGCAACCAGCTTGAATTTGGAGCCGTCTAATTTTCCCACAAAATATAAATCAGATAGCATTTCCCCTTTCTAAGTTATTTTGATCATTTAAATTGTATTCTCTATCAGAGTATAAAATTTGTACATTTAAAAAAGCATTGTGGTAGATAGCAATAACAAACTATTAGGCGTACAACTTAGATTGAATGACCATTCCTGAAATACTCAACACAACATCAACTACCTTCAGTCACTCTTATCTATAAATATTAATCGTAATTCGTGTGTAATTATACTACAAGAAACATGACCTCATAATCTATCGCAAGTAAATCGTATTTTACTTATAATGAATTGAATTTTTCCGAAGAACATTTGTTTGGTCATGTTGACCGCAAAGAAAATCATACCTTGAACGCATTGCATCACGAAGGGGATAATCTTAGGCATAACTGAGGCTCTACTTTTCCCATTAAATAATTACAGTATTTTGCCTACTCTTCTTTACCATCCACTGTTAATCTCTGCTGGTCTGCCAATAAATAGACTAAATAATTTTGCTTAGTCGCATAACTTTGTTATGAATATGAACAATAAATTATGGTGGAAACGTTATCCAGTAAATGATACTGTTTCCCTGTGTGACATTTCTAGTCAACAATCACAAACTTCTAGTAATGGATTACTATTTTTTTAGTATATTGCAATTCTGCGTTATACTAGTTCGAACCGTTGGACCTCTGATGGCTTTTGGGCTCCTATGTGGATGCCTTACTATTGCCTGAATATTTACTATGATAACTTGCTTGGTTATGATCAACAGAGGAATCCAGGAGGTGCGCTCCATCCTACTTAGGACTCGTCAGCTGAACGTACTGGCATCCCAGTGAATGATGTGGTCCCCACTGAGACTCGAACTTCGTACCCAATCGAGTTAATCACCAAGGCGTTATCCATTAGGCCACTGAGGCAAGACAGCCACCTTTTTGCAACAGATATTAGTTGGTACTATTTTTTGATATACTTGTAATTCTCTGTTGTTATACTGGATAGAATCGTGCAACAGTGGCCTAGTAGATAACGGTTTGGGATTTGAGGCGGTGGATGCTGTTTTTCAGTCTCAGTAGGAACAACATCAGTCACTGGGGTGCAGGTACATTTAGCTGGCTGGTCTCAAATAGAGGGAGACGAGCGTCCTGGATTACTCTGTTAATCATAACCATGTAAATTATCTCAATAATGTATTAATTAATTTCACTCGACATCCTTCAGTTATTTCCGAAATATTGGTTATAGAGAAATGAATGAGAGGTCAATCAACAGCTCTTGAATGGAGCTATGCAGCATTGTTACTAAACAGGTCACAGGTAGAATGACTTTTAAAAAAGCAAACAAAAAATGCTACCAATGACATGTATATGAAGAGATTCATGTTTTCCGCTTTCCAAAGTTGTCAGTAGGGTAAGTGGTGCACCGCTTCTGGACCAAGTTATTAACATTTTCCATCGTGCAGGCAACTTGTTACTCTCATCATACCCTCAGCTGTCTTCTTGTGTCTTTTTCAGGATGTGTAGTAAGTGATTACTTAAACTTATATATTCAGTACTAAAGCTAATTACATAAATGCACCTATACCTTGAGTGAAATAAGGTGTTGTGAAACTCGGATCTTGTAGGTTCAGACAAATCGGCTCTACGAGTTGAATCAGTTTCATACACCACTACTAAGGGGGACACGGCCAATCAGTCTTCGATAGCCCCGTTTCGACCAGTGAGAACTGTTGATTGATGTGAAACTACTCATATCAGTTAGTCAGTAGTACATTTCGCCAACTGTCTCATCTAGCATGCACCTTACATGAAAAAAAGTGTTACAACAGAACTCACTTAACAACTTAGTAACATTAACTAATAGGCCGTTTCATGCTTAGTTTTCCTTGTTACTAATCTTCTTTACATAATTTCAAATCCTACGATTAACCCCAATGGAAATGTTTTAAAGATGTACATGTTCGTTGAAATCTTAGTGACTGACTGACAGTCCCAAATTGTATCCAATATGCACACAGTCTTTTACAGGATAAAGTAGTTCTCAATTATTTTTTTGGTGTCGAATTTTGTAAAAATGAAGAAAAATAACTGTAATCCACTGAAAGATGTGATTGGTTAATTTAGTATCAAGTATGGAGTGAGTAGATCAAATGTTATGTTGATGTGTAATTGTTACCATATCTGTATTGTGTTTGTATGTCTGCGTGCTCTCGTATGTGTTCTCAACTGCATCGCAAACCCTCTGAATATATATGTAAAGCAGGGTTAAAGCGTAGGCTTTTTTCCCAACAAAAAAGTAGTGACAGTATAAATTCGAAAGCGAAAATTACAAATTTCGCCTCGATTATTAATCTATTCAAAGAAGCAGAGAGTTGAAAGGCAGCATTCAAATCATTTACACATTTATTTTCATAATTATCTACTTATAAGACATCTGGAAAGAATATTAAATCATCAGTTGAAAATCAGTCGTGAATCGCCGCCAGGATCTACTTCAAGTAAGTAGTGATAAGATGTGTTTCTACTTATTCACCTGTTTGCGAGTAGTATGTTAACGCCGGATTAATATTTGTTATTTAAAAGTGTACTGTAAATAAACAGCAATCAGATAGTAAATGGAGGCGTTGTGTTTATAGTTTGGTGTTTTTTGGAATTTGAGGCCATTTCCAGTAGGTTTCATCATCACTATGGGTCAGTGCCCATTTGTCTGTGGACTGACATTTGATGGTTGGTGTGCCATGCTTCTGGAAGCGCTCCGGCAGTTTCTTAAGACTGCTTATTGTTTTTCAAATTTCCGCATAGTCTCTATCGAAGTTCGCCTTATGCTCATCTATATGTTTCCATATGCCATGTCATGTGACTGGAAGTCTGTGGCCTATATTCGATGCCGACTAGTTGACATAGGGACGTCATTTTGTCTACTTTGCATACTGGAACCTTTAGTTTGGTTGGCTTATGTTCCATACTGTTACTGAATAGCTGAAGTAAACGCATGATGGTTCTTAAAACATGTTTTTAATACATGGTAAAATGACTCGTTTTGTCGGTCGAGGTAATTTCTTATGTGTGATCCGTTGATGAGCATTACTTGATGAAGTTTATTGAACGGTCATTGACTGTGAACACCACTGTACTGCATCTGACCAAATCAATCAGTGCGTGAAATATAAAAGCAGGGTAAGAACAAGAAATTTTATCAACTTTCTCGAGATGAGCATCGTTTACTTTCATTTTCTTGAATGTAAGAGGGAAATGTCTGTAAGAGGAGGGTGATTCCAAGAGACTTTCACTCGAACTGGAACTGACTGAAGACAGAGATTTCATGTACTGGCTTGGGATACCTGAGGATTTTGTCTTCAGACCAAAGTAACATTTTCTAGTTCGAAAATGAAGGTGACTAATTTTAATACCCCAAAACTAAGTTGGAGATAAACATTTTTGGTCAGACTATTGTGTCGAACCTACTTAACAAACCAATTTGGTCAATGGATTGTGTCTAATGACTGTGAGGTCAAATCCTGCTGGTCAAACTACACAATCGGGATCACTTAGGGTAGCACAGTATAGAAATCTGGCAAACACAGATTAGTAGACTGTGATAGGATTTAGAAAAACCAGAAAAGAGCGCATCCATAGTCATGCACGCCGTCTGACAAAATCGAACAATACCATAGTTAGGTGATGAGAATGGGATTTATAACTGAAGTTTTGTTTATCAAATCGACGCTTGGCATATGTAGTAGCAATGACATAACATCAACTCCGGTTATGTGGAAAATTTTATCACCAATTAAATCAAAGAAGAAGGTATGATAACATCTTGAACTGGTTATGCGAACTATATTGTGCTCGAAACATCACCCAGTAAATAATACTGTTTCACTGTGTGTAGAGTATATAAAACAGGCATCTACTTTTCAAACTCGAAACGTGTAAAAGTTGCTAACTGATAATTATCATCTACAGTTCATTAAAAAATTTGTAAGAACGCATAAGAAAAGAAATAATAACAATTATACGAGTAGAGAGGAGTTTATAGCCTGTTGTACTGTGTTACAATATGAAGAAGGTACATTAGAAACCTTCCTTAGGGTTCTCACCAAGGCTGGAATTAAAGGTGGGCATTTAATAAACCTACAAACTCACGCACAGATAAGCTTTGTCGACTTAACGACCCAATAGATCCAATTAAGGGAAATAATCTAATACCGAATTTCATTCAATGTCTGTCAGGTCAAATACACAGCTCACACTAGCCGGTTGGGGTCAGTTAGATTGCCGGAATGTAGGAATTCAAAGCAATTAGTTCCTTCTGTATAAACTTGAACAAAGCAACAAGAAGACTTAAATCGTCTCGACCGTGTAATATGTTACCATGCATCATATTTTCAACAAGCTGACCTCAATAAAAATCAATTCGAGCGAAAAACATACTGCATATAGAACTTGGTTTCAGAGCTGAATTCATCAGGGGAGAAGTAATGTGATGTTAAATTGTTTTCAAACACATAAAAGTGGTTTAAACTCCTCCTATACCTAAGGACTGAACAAACGTAAGGATCTATTCCCAAACCCCTTTCTAGACAGGTGTAAAGCACGTAGATGTGTCTATCGTGTGACCACTCAAAAAGATATGTTTCATGACCAAAAAGCTTGGGAGTCTGCTACCAATGTTATGGGCGATTCAAGTGATTCAATTTCTTTCTGAAGCCTCTTTGAAATATGCTCTTGGGCCGTTACTTGCATGGATGTATGAGTCCATCCTATCTATATGTTACCACATGCAGATTTGAATTGGGAGATGCCATAGGACTTGACGTTTCCGTTCATATGCTCTAAGGTTTTGGAAGAATATGCAGGCTTAGTCGAACCCTGGGTCCATAGTAAATCCTTCTAACGCCAGCGTTAAGTAAGTAAGTTGAGGATTGTTTTAAGAGTCGATTTGCACGTAAGACTTGTGAAGACATCTTTCTTCGGGACAAGGTAAAGAGCTAGTTCTCACGCTCTGGCTACTATGTGCCGGCTAATAAATTTAGCGAAATATAAAATGACAGACTCTAATAGGATGAATAATCATTAAAAAAATCCTCACCATTTGCAATATACGCAGTGACACAGAACCACACAAACAATATGAAGGATAAAACCAGTGTATTTAAGTCTAGTGTTCAACTAAATGGAGAAAGAGATTGATTACTGAATCTTTTTTCATCATATCTACACGCAACATGTGTAACAGGAATGATGCAACATCTGTAATAGAGATTTGAAAAATTTTACTACTATAAACCACTTCACCTAATTGTGGAGTTTTATCAGCCCGAACGGGACGGCTGCTGACGAAAACTCAGCTCGGATACAGAAGCTCCATTTGGCATTTTCCAACCTATGTCATCTGTGGCGCCAGCTGGTTAGGTATCCGACTAGCTATCAGACGACAAATATACTGCGCCGCAGTTCGTCCTGTCTTGTTATATGGCTGTGAGACATGGCCGTTAGAAAGTAGACGGCATGAAGTAGTAACAGATTTTTTGATCACACATGTCTTAATGGCATTGCTGGCGTTTGGTGGAATCACCGTGTGCGCAATTTTTAAGTCAGGCTGATGGTACGAGGCAATGGAAGCAATTTGACTTATGAGGCTGTGAACTTTAGCTGACTGAGACGGTTTGAACGTGTAGTGCGCATACTGAGCCACTGCCTACCTAGACTTGGCATGCTAGCTAGGGGAAGTTGGATTACGTCGGAAGAGGGTTTGAAGTAGCCAGAGTATGGAGTAGAACCGGTCAATAAAGACTCTAACTGTTGATATGAGTCGTGTGGGGAGATGTAGACTACCGTAAGACGAAAGGAATAAGTGGGTGAGAACTCTTGGTGATATGGTTGAAAACCTGTCACAATAGCGTAGGTGTATTCACTCCCTGAAATCTTCTAAAGCTTGAATATTTGGACTAACCTTCATCTTCAAAATGTTGTTTACTCTCTCACAATACTGTCTACTTTAATGTCAACTTTCTTCTATCCACTCTTTCTTTAAAAGCTACTTTGAATCGATGCACTTCTGTGTGCATGGTTTCATTTTGGTTCTCTCTAACTATCCTGACAACTACTGAAAACAATAGTTTTCCATATCAAACTATTAATAACAAGCTAAAATCTTCACATACACTTAAATCAAGTGATTAGGCAACCATTGACCTGAAAAGACAAAACAAGATAACACTTCTCTTGCATAATCCCAACACAACAAATAATGACAAAGGTTGGGTCTAAGATAGGCGGAATGAAGTGGTTGTTGATTAAGATGAAAAAGGTTGGACAACTAATACACTTATTAGGATTTGCGCTAGTTAAGTACGTATACGATGAGTAGTGCTCGGAAAGCATGCTCGATTGTGTGTGAAATCAAATGTACACTTTAAGTGGATGAATTAATGATGCTAAACGTACTATGAAAATGTCACGAACATCAACAAGAATAAGTATGCAGGCATACTGAGATTTATGTACTTTGAGGCTGAAGCAAGTGAATCAGATGCTGAATGAAGACCTTGGTGAATGTTAGTCATGCTATATCGTGAAATAACAGAGGTTAGAAATTTCAAGCACTGGATTTCGAGTCAGTGGCTCAACGGCGTGTTGGCTGCGGAACCTGAAGGCCGTGGGTTCGATTATTTAGAAAGGGGTTGGGGGGTGTATTATATTGAGGAGTACCATACCAGGACAAAACAGCTATTCAGTGCTCCCAGGTTCTCAATATTTCTCCAACTGATGTCATTCCATGAGTTAGATCAACCTCATATTCCAAAGAGTTTGTGATCAAAGGGTGTAAAAGTCTTTGGCCTCCCAACTGACAGGTCTCATGAAGTCGGTATCCAGAACCAGTTTAAATTAAATGGAACGGACAAACAAGATTACCATGAGATATCGCACTGAGGCCATAAATTCAAGTTGCCATACACTTTACTGTGGCAATTAACGAATAAGTGGACAGAAAAGGAATGAAGGAAAAGCGATTTAAAGATGCAGATTGGTGAAAATACTCAAGGTTACCAGCCAGACAGTCTGCACTTCCCTACACAAATCAGATGAACAGCCAGAGACTTAATGGCTTGATATCACTATTTCTTGATCTGATCACCCTCAGCCTTACTTCTTTCAACCTAATCCAACTTTATCTACCATTTAGCATAATTAATAAACAGTTGAATTGGTAATTGATGCGTTTTCACGGAAGCCGTTGCCATAAAATGACTACAAATGAAGTTATGTTTCAGAGAATAGAAGTAGTATCAACATTGCCAATCCATTCACCGATATTGTATGCTACATTTCATGCATATCTCGAATACTTTTAAGTCACACATTCCTGATAAAGGAAAATGGTCTTATCCCGATAGGAACAACATACCTCTTCACTGGGGTACAATCGTCAGCTAGATGCGTTTGCACTCCCGTGAGGGATTTTCTTCCCACTGAGAATTGAACCCAGTATCAA